TCATATTAAGCATACGGCTGCGAGCATTGCGTAATGTTCCGAAAAGTGGACGCCAACCTGAACGGATTTCCGTTCGATGCGCTTCAACTATTTCATACAAGCAGGCAACAATTTGATCCTGAAAATAAAAAAAGAATAATTTCATTTACATTTTTATCAAGAATTTCATCTACATCAATTCTTAGCAATGATCAAAATGACAAACAAATGAAATCTATATGTGTACATTAGGGTGGTCCAAAAAAAAGTATGTTATAGAGTAAAGTCGTAATCTTTATGCTCTCACCCCCTAGGATTGTTCTATATCGAAAAAATACCTATATTTTTTATTTTGAAATCAAAAAATATTTAGAGGTATGGAAAAAAATCGCTTTTCTGGGCGTTTTGGCGGACCTATAAAATATAGTTACTATGCAAAAATGGTTAAATAAATAATTGGGTATTATTGGGTATATGAAGTTTGAAACTGGGATTTGTATGGTTTTGGTTAAAGGTGAGACAATTTTTTTTATAGAAAAATAACACAAACAAAAATTACCTCGAAAAACACTACGAATATTTAAAAAATTAAAACATGGTCATTTGATTGAGTCACTGTATGTATAGTATGCAAATCTATGCTTAAGCTCTATCTAACATTTTTAATTTTTGTGAATTGGAAGTAGAAAAAATCTTAAATAAATATGTACATTAGCGTGCCTCACCAAAAAAAAGTTGCTTTATAAAATTTTTAAAAATTTTTATGCAGATGTTTTAAGCTCAAACTCTTCGATCATTTGGTGATTTTTGGAAACATATTTTTAAAAACTAATTTTATTTATAAAAATCTCGATTTTTGGAAATATTTTCAAAACGATCCAGCTTACCTAAATCTTAATATTTTTCCGAAATATTTTAGTGGAAGTCTTAAAATATAAAATGTTTTACAATTGCAATAGAAAAATAGTACCGCTTTTTATGGAGAATGGTGTGCGCTAATTTACGTATGTAAACTGTACAGTTGTAAATTTTTGTGAAAGAAAATGTTCTATCGAAATTTGTTCAAACTCCGACTTTGACAAGAATTATGTACCTTTTGCCAATTTTTGGAATATAGATATGTATGTAATGTAATTTAAGAAAGTCAAGGAGGCAGTCCTCGGAGTGCTACTATATTGTGGCAGATATACCACTTTTTGAGCATCTACTACATTTACACAGAAGGCATGAAATCTACCACATATTCCCGTTTTTGAGTAAATAGTTTAATTTGTGTTCGTCATAAAATTTATTAATTTTTTTTTTTTTTTTTATTTTAAGAGCGAAAAATTTTTCAACACTAAACACAATGTGATAAAAAGAACGGCAGCATTCCCCAAGGTTGCGGAAATCTCTCAAATTATGTTCGAAAAAAAAATTTATGTAGAAGAAAATGCGTTACACTGTCAACAAAAAAAAGAAAAATGGCGAAAAATGTATGAGATTTTTTAGCAATTTCAAATTTGCACTTCATTATGTATACTAAAACTTAAAATTTTTTCTGAGATTTTTCTTCATGGTAATTTTTACATACATATGCATACATATGTAAGTATTGAATTCGCTACGCAAAATGTACCTGTACGTCTGCATCACAAGTGTCCATGCTCAAAAGATTTTCGAATGGCTTTAGCAGTGCCTCGTTAAAGTGAAAATGTGGCAGCTCAGATTGCTCCACTAAGAGTGCCGTTATTATGTCATGTATATATTCGATGGCTCTTTTGGATATCACACGATCTCGGTGGCAAGAAGCCTGAAAGTTGACAAAATGTAGCAACCAACTTAGATAAGTCCTGCATCAATACTTACGTCCATTAGATGAGGCCCCGTTATAGCCCACACCTTTAGTATATGCAAAAGAGGTCTGGAACTTTTGAATACCTTTAAAGTAACGTCACCGATTCGATGCAATAAAAGCGACATCGGAAGCGTGTCCATTTTTTTCCAACCTTTGCTGGGCCACCAAATACGGGTGCCTTTGCGCGTAACATTATTTTTATAGAGCTGTTCACGAGAAGCTTTACACAGGTTCTTCAGAAACTGACAAAGTGATGGTAGACTCAAACGCTCAGCGGCATCAGAAAAAAGATTTTCAGCCTGGTGGGATAGGGCGCACAAGACTTTTGAGGTATCACCCTGACTTAGTAATACAGTTTCATTAGTGCCAGAATAAACCTTCAGAATGGATGTAATATTAGTATTAGGGCTTTGTAGAGGTGCTTGAAGAAAACTGTAGACATCCACGCTGTAAAAATAGATGTGCATTTATGGTTACAAACATGTCGGCCTAAATTAGCCAGAGTTTCTCCTTGGAGAAAAGCTGCATATCGAGGTCTTATATTCAATAATCTCCGTCAAGTTTCTGTTCACGACCCATGTGGGAGTTAGGCATCATCACGGATGTTAGTTCTAACTGTACCATCCAATAGTAAATTCGTGGTCTTTTATATCAGAAATCGGAGATAGAAGGTACTGAATATATGTAAACCCTCGATATCTATATTTCAAGAGAATATTACCAGGTTTCGTCATCATCTATGGGTAGTGAGGACAAGTTAAGCTTATCATTTTGGCAAGCATTATTTAGCTTTTCGCCAGTCTCCATATCGCGACGTCCTGTACCCGGCGATGTGCCTACCGCTGAATTTTGCAAACTGAAAATGTCATGTTCCAACTGGCTGACGTGCCGGCAAACCGCAAATACAGATTGCCAACAATCCGAGCTATAAGAACCCAAATTCAAGCCGCCGTTCAACACCACATCCATTGACATCGCTTGACTAGCTGATATTCTCGGTCCGTTGGTCTGGCACACATTTGATGCCAGCAGGCCCAGAATTTTCCCAGCCAAATGTTGCAAATTCAAGCTGTTACTTAAGGTGGCCGCCTGAACGTAAAAGAAATGTAAAAACGACCCAAATTACTTTGTAAAGAGACAATTATCGCATGAGTTATTCAACATTTTACCGAATGTAAACCATCTAGACACATTGCATATAACGCCTCTCCATTGGAGTTTTTGGCCTTTGCTTTGACACGCAGTGTACGTTTCGACAAGGCCACCAATTTATTTGAATTGTTACACGATAGATCACCTAGACCCGAACTCAAAACTATAACCATAGAGTCCCAGCAGCAGGTTAGTAGGCGCCGACATAGTTTCTTGGCAGCCTCACGTCGTTTATTATCCTGTTCATCGGTATACTTAATATTGGCCATCTGTAAACGCTGCCACTCGGAGAGCATCTGCGTGGGTCCCAACCCACCAGCATCACAAAGCATATCCACCAGTGCACTTCGTGAATTGGTACCTTCCAATTCCTCCCTACTCATCGCTTCTAGAACATTCGAGACCAATATGGACTGGTATAATTCACAGAGCCAAGGAGACGAAAGGTACACCAAAACACCAGTGTTCTGGACAGATGTAACAAATTGTTGCTCCGACATCGGAATCAATATCTCCTTCTGTGGGTCGTCATAGTAGCCAGCCTTTGTTAGTTGTAGACTGAGTAACAACGACGAATAAATCGCTAAGTAAATGCCATCGGCATTGATGGCCGTCAGGTGGTAGTCGAAATCTGAGAAGTTCATTGTGTTTTCTTGACACACGACCGATGCAAATTCTTGCATGGCCTCGTCAACTTCAATACACGAGCGCAAATGCAAAAGTTTTGGCACCAAATCTTTTCTCAATGCTTTTGAAAAATCCCGCGCGTGTTGCCGATCATTGTCAATATCGGTTCGTACTGGTATGACGGGAGCCTCGAGATGTGTGTAGGGCCATCGGTTTTCCACGCGTGATGTTTCATCACTCGAAGTTGATTGTTCCTCCTCTTCGGGCCCCTCTGTATCACCCGAACCATTCGAAGCTGCGTCGTGTTCAGCATGGTCACCGTCACTGTCTGAGCCGGAGGAGGTTTCAAATACACTCTGACGAAACTCTACAATCGCATCACGATATGGCGCGGGCAGACGTGCCATCGATTGGTATGTTAATGGGCCTGTATAGTCAGCATCCTTTAATGTTTCATGACGACTGTTTACGGTGTTCACAATCTGTAGATAATGTATGTATGTATATGTATATATGTATAAGTACATGCCAATAAATCCTCGGCTGAGAGGAAGATTGCCCTATCTCGGCTGTCAATGCATAAGTATAAAATAAATATATCGGCAGCTAAAATAGGGCTCTCTTCAACCATTTGCTGAGATAGGGCGATCTTCCACTCAACCGTCGATATGCTCCTGTATAAAATTTTACGTATGATTGTATGTATGTATAAATATTATGGTTACCTGGTCGCTTATCATCGATTCAGTGAGTTCACCACTGCAGAGAACTTGTAAACTGTCCAGTAGTGCGACCATGCATTCTACGCTTGCCTGTAAGCCTGCCTCTACTCCGGAACCAGCACTGACGCCATAAGCACACTCTTCCATTGCATCAATCATACTGAAAATATGGGAATATTTAAGTGTGCATACATATTAACTAGGCTCGTTAAACTCTATTTTTTTTTTAAGCTAGAAGCAATGGCTAGGATAGAAATTTGTTTTCATTATTTTACAAAACTTTATTTTCCATTCGAACCATCAGAGTAGTTGTCATTCAGGTAAACCAATAGCTGATTAAATATTTCACGCATATGGGATATGCCACGCCTCCTCATACCATACTATAAGCGTCTTCCAAAGTTACATATATATTCACCCAAATTTCAGTCATGCCTCTCAATCCCTTTTACTTACCATAAGCGCCTACTATGCTAATGTCTCCACTAAATATCGATCTCATGCGACTTATGGTTTCAAAGTACCTTCAGAAACCTCTTTCGTCTGACAGCGATATTTTGATAAATTTTTCAATTACCTAGCTCCACTTTTCAAGCAGATGATAACCCATTTCAAAATATAGCTATGCACATTTTTTGCGCCGAGACTAACCAGTTGACACCCATATTATAAAATTTAATATTACCTGGGTATAATTTACGTAAACTCGAATTTTTCAATCAGGTGGCAACCCTCTCAAAAATGTATCGAAAAAACATTCTACTCGCCGAGAAGTGTTTCCACAAGCGGATGTAAGTTTCCAACAAAACCAACATCCATTTTTTATACATATCGTTACCTTAATTCACAAAGGCCCCAACCAACACTTTTTTCTTTACATATATTGATAGGATATATTAAAGTACACCTTCACTAAAAATTTGAAAATGTTAATACCAAAAACAACGGAGTTATGCCACTTTTTAAAATGCTCTATCCATATATGTATATGATTTGATTTTTGTAATGTTTTTTGCTTCTCCTTGTAAAATAAAAAAAAAAAAAAATTGGTGGTTAGGGCCTTTGTGAATTAAGGTGATGATATATATGTATGTCCACTGTTTTCATTTTGAAATCAAAAAATGTTTTATAGGTACCTTAAAGCGCTCAAATTTTTCCTTGTATTTTATATGGGGAAAAAACAACTTGTAGAAAGGGTATGGAATTCTTGAAAATTAATATTTTTCGATCGGAAAACTCTAGTTCTCTACAGGAGACTTCCAATAACAATACCCAGTTATTTATTTAACTATTTTTTAATACTAAAGATTTTTTTATTTATCCCCCATTGCATTTTCTGGGGGCTTTGGCGGATCTTTAAATATAGTTACTATGAAAAATTGGTTAAACAAATAATTTGGTATTATTACTAGGAACCTCCAGAAGAGAAATAGAGTTTTCAGATCAATATCGAATCCATATAAAATACATGGAAAACTAGCCATTGACTCTAGCTCAAAAATCGACTTTTGCGAACCTGCTTAGTGTAAATATTGTCACACTTATGCCACAAGCACGAATTTGCAAATTTATCAGTTTCGTGTAATTGGGTTGAATTGATTAACCTTTGGATGTTCTAGGTTATACGGAAACCACATAAATATTTTACAATTTCAGTTGCATAAATGTAGTTAAGTCTCGTAAAAAACTTTGAAACTTGATTTCCCAAAATTTGTATTTTTTCACATTCATGTTTCTGGCATACGGGCGACGATATGTGATTTGGTGCATTGGACAACTTAAAAAAAACTTACAGCCGAAATAATGCCATTTCATCACTACATCCTTGGCCAGTATTTTTATCAACGTACAAAATAACCGCTAGGTCTATTAAACGCTCCGGACTTTTTAATATTTCACGAACACATTTCAGTGGCTCGGTGCGATTTTGTGGCGATGGCAGCAGAAGCATGCGATGGAAGAGTGCTTCCAACATGGGTCGCAGTGAACCATAAGCCCCCGCAATCCGCAGCAGCTGAATTCCAGTTAAGTACACGCAACGGGCTTGGGGACCATCTAAGCCGGGACCGGTAAAAAAGCCACGTGCTTCGTTTTCAATCAAGTTTAGTGCATCTCTAAATGTTAAATGAAATTAATTATTATATAAATAATTGAGCATGTACATATGTATTTATATTATGTATACATAGTATGTATGTACATATGTATTCAACTCACTTGTAAGTAAATTTTTTGTCCAAATTAATACGGCCTGGCGAACCCAATGCTGCGGCCAGAGTTGGGCAAAATTTCTGCCATAGGAATGATGTAAAATGTGGATTTGCATGAACATTTCGTGGCAGCGCTGACGTCAGTGTCAAAATGCATTCAGTTAAGTATAGAGAGCAATTATTCTCTGGTTTTTTGTTGGGCGAACCACTCGCCGCCGGCTCTACCAAACGACTGCATAGCCATTGCATTACCGGTATCACTTCATTGTACACCGCTGATGCTTGTGTCTGTGTCATAAGACCGGGTGGTGCAGTTTTTTTCACCTCTTCGGCCTCCTCAATGAGAAAAGCGCAAAAAGTGCGCAAGCATTGTGATGCTGCTGCCAGTGAGGCGGCTTTGGTGGCACGTGAGCCCAACTCCCAACACTCGCCGCAACGTGAAAGTGTTTCGATGAGAAGACGACCATTTAGTGTGCACGCAGGTGAGCAAGCCATAGCCAAAAATAAGCGTAGAACATTGATAACGGTCTCCTCGCTGCTGGTTGTGGGCAAAATTCCACTTGTGGCGCGGAGCAACTGTGCGGGCAACCATACAGAGTCATCCTCTGGTTCCAGACCGATGTAAAAACGTTCATCCTTAATTATACGCTAAAGGTAAAGCAAATAAATATTAGGATCACTCTTTGTTTTAACTATAGAATATCATTTTTCATGGTGTACTACCCATACCAAAATCAGTTCGTACGCCTGAACATTTTTAATATTTACTTTTGAAACTTTTATATAAGTGCATATATTAACAAATCAAATGTTTTGATACAAAGTTGGTAATTTCCCAAAACTTGAAATGTGGTTTCTTAGAATCAACAACAAAAGAAAAAAATTACAAAAAAAAACAACGTTAATAGTGAGATTTTTCAACACGCTTATAAAATGCAGTCCAATTCAATTCGTAGCTTCCTAAAAAAGTCGTTCATCTTTTTCACAAATTTTAATGAGAAATTAGGGCTCGTGTTTTTACATATTTCGATGACACCCACATTCGGCAGTAAGAAATATTTTTTTTTTTAATAGTTCTCCTGGAATAATCAAAAAACTTTCTTATCCTTGGATTGTTGGAGAGCTATAATCTACTGGCGTTAGGGTGATAATAACTGAGATCTAGCGTGTTGATACTAGGACAGTGTACTTTGGAACAAAAAAATTTGTCCTCGAAATCACTTAGATACGACTGTAAATGCCGAAAATATAACGACAAATGTAAAAATGCGCCATACGTTCGGTAAAAAAAAAAATATTTAATTTCCAATTTTCCAAGGAAAATTTATACAAGGTGGTGTTACCGGTGAATTTAGATTTTCGCTGCGCTTGTACTGATTGTCAAATGATGTGTTTCTTGTAAATTTGTTTTCTTCTGATTGCTTTGTCCATATAAATGGTTAGTGTAGTTTTTTGTTACTGGCCTGTCGCTACCGTTTTATATGAATTCGCCTTGCAATTTTCCTTGCAAAAGTACTTTAGACTCAGCGGCGAACTTTTTTTCTGGTACGGTCTAATGTACATAAATACATAAATATGTTGAAATTTTTTTTTTCAATTCCTGAAAATAATAAATCTTACTCAATCTTGTTAATGCCAAACAAATCTAATCAGTAACTTCTCTTAACGGCATCATTACAGGGCACTGTGCTATAGCACCAATGCTCCTCTGCAGAAGTTGTCGGGATGAGGAAAAAAATCGGAGCGATTCACCACTTTCTATCTCAGTGACCAGCTTTACAGACAAGGCATTTGGGAACACGCTTTTTGTTATAGTTTGGGGAAGATAATGGAAGTGAAAATATCGGAACTCCACCTTTTTCATCCGGCATAGTAAATTGTTTAAAAGACTCTATACTGACAACATGGAATAACTTCGGTTAGAAGGAGGAGCCTCCCTCTGGAACTCATAGAGGGCATTTTAGTCATACGTACGCACCCTCATAACCTAACCTAACCTAACCTAATTTTTTTTTAATAGTACAGGCTTAACTTCATATGATATTTGTCAATTATTATTACTATTTATTAAAAAAAAAAAATCATATTTTCTTGTTAATGAATTGTATTGCTTTCACTCAAATCCACTAATTAAAATTTATTTTACACTTCGTAGCTTGCTCTTTGGTACACAGTTTTCCGATTACCGGGGCGTATGATGAACGCGCGAAAGACAAACCTTTGCTATGCAAAACCGCCCATTGACCAGTTACAAAACCGCTATCTTTATGGCCGGTGACTTGATAAGCGGTATTTCATCTACATATTTGTCATTTTACAAACTTTGCGGTTGAATAACGATTTTAAGATTTTAATGCAATACGCTGCCTTCTCATTACTGACAGTATCAAGAAATCGAAAAAATCGCAACATGAAATTGACGAATTACACTCGAAACTATTAATTTTATACGTTTTTGATAGTCTAAATACGCCCAAAATTTTACAACTTTTTATAGATTTTAAAAGTACTTAACTACTTTTTCCTTGTTGATGAAATGCGCACCGAGGTGCTTAAACTTTAATCTAGCGAATGCCGGGCAGCTGAGGAGGAAGTGCAGAGATCATTCCACTTCGTCTTCCAGACAGCTGCGGCAGTAGATTCGCACCGTGTCGGTTTCTATAAGACAATGTCCGTTCAGTACAGCTGTAAGAATCGAGAGCTAGCGTTTGGCCAGCTTTAGTAGCTTACTTGACCGCCCGCGGTCTACAACCGGCCAGAAGGACCTTGCAACTTTGCATGTCGTGGTTTTCGCCCAGCGCTCGCTGAGCCGACTGTAAGCTCATCTGTCCCAAAGCAGGCCGCAAGTTGCCAACGGAACTCCTTTGCCCTCCCTGTCTGAGGTGATGGCCTCGAGGGTGCCCTGTCTAGCCAGTGCATGAGCCCTGCAATTTCCAGTGATATCACTGTGCAATGGGATCTAAATCAGCTTGATTTGGAAGTATTCCGAAGCAGTTGAGAAAGAGGTCAGGCATTCCCCGACCAGCTTTGAACGTACCATTACCGAACCCAGCGCCCTGATTGCCGCCTGGCTGTCAGGGTAGATATTTACTCTTCTTGTCGACAATACATTGGCGCCTAGCTAATCGGCCGCCTCTTTTATAGCGGCCTCCTCAGCCTGAAAGACGCTGTAGAGATCCGACAATCTAACCATAAGATCTCATTCAACTCCCGTCCAGCTACGATCCGTCCGTGAAGATGGTTATAGGACCTCTTCTACAGAGACTACCCTTCTCCCTTTCGTCCCTTGGAGGGATGTGCGTGGAGAAGGTGCGACATTGATAGAAAATTATCAACTTAAATATAATTATAGCTAAAAAAACATAAAACAAAATCGATTTCAATATTTCACTAACAGACAACGATTTCGACTACCTGCCATTTTGACAAAAGCAAAAGACACCGTTATTTGGTTTGAAGTTTTTTTTTATCAAATACCGATGAGAAAAAGTTTATTTTTGTAAGTACGAAGAACGACTTTTTGCCACAAAAATTTATCAAATTAGCCATAGTGCATTTTGTGGCCGTCAATTATTTTTAACACAAAGAATGTAACACCGTGCTGCACATGTATGACACTGACAGTGGAGTAAATTGTGTGATTTCGTATGGGGAATTCCAGATAGGCAACGTATGAGTTGCAGCATCGGACGAAAATCACTCTACTCTTAACTTTTTACGTGTGTTTACGTCTACGGTTTCATTTTGGCGCGTTTTATCAGTTACATGCGTTTACTGAACCGACTGAGAAATAGCCATTCTGAAAATCTCATCTTTGAAATAGCCATTTTAGAGCCTCGATCAAATTATGTCCACGCGTTACACGCTTCTCATAAAAAATCGTCTGCCGTTCGGAGGTGGGGTAGAACTGTAGGCTCCTCCCACCATTTGTGGAGCAACAGTAGTTCATAAAATGTATCAAGTGCAAATTGTTATTTCCCCTCGAGTAAAAATAAATAACTACAAAATAAAAAAATCAAAGCCAACAAAAAGTAGCAAAATTTAATCAAGAGAGTGAAGCTGCTATCAAACTTTAATTGGTTTTTTCATTTTGATCAAAAAGTTTTTTTTTTAGTTATACAGTTGCCAATCAAAAGGTAAAAGAGTAAAATTGCAAGAAACACACAACTTATATATCTTATGCGAAAAAATTTAGAGATATCGGTGTGAATTTTTTACATACATATGTAGCATAAAAGAAGTGCTCAGGAATTTGTTTTTGCATTCAGATATTTGGATAAGTATGTTTACGATATTTTTAGCTTAGATTTTCACTTACATGCAATCCATTGAGGCCCATTGTGATGAACTTTGGCCGCTTTGTGTCTAACGCCATCTGCAGTGCTGTGAAACATACCGAACGGAGTTCATGGGCTGGATCCCGATGGATGCCATGCTGGCGATATAACTTATCTGTTTAAATAGGTGTATATAATTTAATTCAAACTATGCTTGGCGATGTGGAAGCACAATATGGACTCAAAGCATACATTAATGTGAATCACATAAAGTAAGTTGCTATATACATATATTCCCATTACAATTCCGACTTTACTTTTTCACATGAACTTTTGAACCACCCTAACGTAGGTGTAATCGAGGCTCGGTTGTACATATTTCAGAACTAAATTTTTTATACATACACACATACATATTTATCTTTTAAGTTTGTAGCAAAACTATTATGAGACAAAAGATAAAATTTAATAATTGGCGTGTTTACCTCATATTCATGTACATATGTACATATGTTTATTAGGGTGGTCCAATTTTTTTCCAGCCATCCTTAGAAGTTAAAAATATGAAAAAGGAGACCCTAATTTTTTATTTTAAAATCGGGTAATGTTTTACCGTACTGGGGAACTTTGATGTTTCATTATATTTTCTGTGGAGCAAAAATACATTGTTTTGCAGAATTGCTAAAAAAATACTACTGTGATGCATTTTCAACTTTACAATTTTACTATCTACTTTTTCATAAACGATTATCTCATCTCTCATTTAGAAATATTAGTTATTTAATGTGATCGTAACCATATCACGCATCTTTTAAAAACAGTTAAAACAGTTAGTCAAATTTTAGCGTCAAGTTTGCATCATAATTCGATTGTTTGAAGATTTCTAAAAGGAAATCGATCAATAAATACATATTTATTTTTAACGATTTTATAGCAATTCTACGAAAAAATGTATTTTCCTAATATAAAATATATGTATGTATGCAAAACTTCAAAGCCTTCGCGGCGCACCGGAATACAATTAACCGATTTTAAAATAAAAAATACGGGCCTCCTCATTTTCTATTCCTTATAATTCTTAAGGAAGAAAATTCCAAAATTTTGATTTTCTTGTGTATTTTAAGAGCACCCTAATGTACATACATTAAGCGCACTAACAGCACAAATAAAAACAAAAAAACAAAAAAAAACAATATTTAAAAAAATAATATGTAACTGAAACGCGTGTGTACGCCAAATTACCCACCGTAGGCGATTTGCGCAGTTTGCCGCAATGCATTGTGTTTCGTCCCTGTGGACTCTTTGATTATCAGCAAGAATAAGTCTTCCATTTTGCGTCTATTCCGTCTGCCGTGACGACGATTATGGATCAATTGGAATTACTTTCCTGTTGCTGATGCTAATTGTGTGGATGTATGTATGTATGCGTGTTGCTTGTTATGTTTGCTATTTTTACTGTCCTTCCCACTTGTTGTTGTTGTCAACATACATACATGCATACATACAAATGTATGTATCCGGGGGAAAAAGGTCTACTCGGATGTCGATGTAAGCACTACTATTGTCTGCGTTATGACGATATTCTATCCGCTTCGCTGATTGCATTCAAGTGGAGCTACAACATAGAGAAAATATGTTAAGTTTTTCATATTTTACATACATGTGCATACATATGTACATACATACATATGTTTGGGATATGCATAGACATGTCGTATATATATACATATGTACATGTATTCTTATGTATATATGTGCAAAATCAATAATACAACAGATGCTTTTGATGCACTTTCAAGGATATCATATTGTATCAATTGAAAAGACAAATTCCTTTGTTTTCATCGCTTCCTTTTAATTTTTTTTTTTTTTTTCTTTTCAAGTACCTATATAGGATGTGTAAATTTCTTTGTGGCCATTCGACCTGCGTTTTTGCAAACTTTTAAGCACACGCACTATATATGTATTTGAATACTCTGATCTATACACACATAAATGTGTGCATATGTATGTATGTACTATATGCTATTCTATTTGCTATGAGCAACTCCAATTTTTCCGCATTTATTTATTTCGTATTGATTTTTCGTTTGAACTTCCTTCGAATTTCTTTAATTAATAAAATGGCTGTTGATTTTAAGAGTGTCCCAATGAAAATGTGTGTATCCCAAATCATGTATGTACGTATGTATGTAGTTATGTACATACGATCTTTTGTTTTGTGGGTAAATATAGCATTTTACTATTATTGTAATGACTAGTACTGATGTTAACTTTTTACCAAACTTCGTTGTCTATTTGTTTATGAAATTTTCATCCGCTACTTGCCATCCTGACAAAGAAGCTGCTTTGCTACTCTGACCTCTAGTATTTATGCACAAAAAAGCTAACCAACTTCAAACGTTGTTTCCTAAAGCAATCGGAAATAAAACTGACGGTCACTAGAGGTGGGTAACTCAACTCAGAGTTGAGTTATTGAGTTGATTCCTATAAGTGAATCGGTAACTCAGACTCCCTGTCCAAAAAAAATGTAACTCAGTAACTCAGTTGATGCCGTAGGGCTCACATGAATCAATTGAATCATAGTGGCTCATATTTGTCCATATAACTCTCTCGCTTCGCCACAGTGTTTAGCATGGCAAAGTCTTGCATTTTGTTTTTGCACGAGGCGAATTTATACAAGGTGGTGGCAAGAATACAACAACAACAACCACATGTATTTTGTATTGCGGGTGTTATGTCAAATCTCACAAATTCTTATAATTTCGTTTT